GGACATTTGAGTAATCCAAAGTTAGGAATATAACATTAGGCTCGACCCCCGGGAAAATCTATTGACGGCAAAGGAGGTGGAAGTGCAGTAGGGATGCACCTGTGAGGTGCGCGCGACTAACGGAAGGTTAATTGCCTCGAATGGAAAGATATTGGATGTTGTGTTCCATCCGGGTGCTCTTGTTTAAGGACTGCACCTATAGCCTCACTAGAAGCATCTACATACAAATGACATTTTCTTTGTGGGTTGAAAAGACATAAAACTGGTTTGGAAATTAACGCGTTTTTTAACTCTTCGAATGATTTTTGAGAGTCTTCAGACCAAACAAACTTAGCATCTTTTTTAAGTAATTTATTTAACGGCAATCTTAACTTTGTGTAATTTTGAATAAAACGATGTTAAACATTAATCGAACCTAAAAACCTTTGTAATGACTTGACGTTATGAGGAGGCAGAAGTTTTTTAATTGTTTCTATATTTGCATCATTAGGAGAACATTTATCTTCGGAAATTTCATAACCCAAAAACTTAATACTTGTTTTACAAAAATCACACTTAGAACCTTTTAATTTGATATTTTCTAACCTACAAATTTCGAAAATTTTTCCTAAATGAGCTAAATGCTCTTCAAGAGAATTACTATAAATTATAATATCATCAAAGAAATTTTTAGCAAATTTAATATTATGTTTTTGTAGTATTTGGCGGATAGCTCGCTGAAATTTTGTTATTAGATTTAATCGCCTAAAATCTATACAAAGTCTATTTCTTTTTCCCTCATCTTTTCTAGTAACCATCGTTACAGGGGCTGAATAGGGACTATGTGAACGTTTAATAATATCATTTTCTAACAACTTTTTAATTTGTGTCTCAATCTCTATATTATCTTGAGGAGAGCAACGATATGGACGTAGAGATATTGGCAATTCAGAAGTAAGAATAACCTTCTGAGGCTCTAACCTTATGACTCCAACATCATATCTATCCTCACTAAAAATATCATTATATTTTTCTCTTAATAAGGATAGTCTCTTATCTACTATTTCCTGTGGTGAATTACAATCCACAGATTCAAGTGATTTAGATTTAGAATATTTACTCGTTGGTGATGAGCAAAGACTATCCTTAACTACACTGAGACAACACTTTGAATGAGTTACAATATTTTTAGAGCATTTTAGTTCATTTTCACCTTGAATAACAATTCTTTTATCAAAATCTAATTTAATATTAAATACGTACATGTCAGGTAGTGATAGCAAACAATAATTCAATTTCGTATTAATACTATACATTTTAATTTTATTTGTCAATTTACCGATACAAACATCTATTTCAATTAAATCAAAATCATGAATTGTGCCTTGTGTTTGTTGCAATGGCACTTTATATTTTTCTTCAATTTTTCTATAGTTAATATTTTTTAATAATTTTGATGGAACAATTGATATTGTTCCTCCAGTATCACAAAG